GTCTCCCAGTGTCCCATGTGAGACTGGATCTGGTGGACCTGCCTGTGCATTTGCTGGTACAGCAGTTCCACATTGCCGGCCCTGCCAGGTCCGGCTCCGGCTTCCTCCAAACCTGATTCTGCTTCTTGAGTGTGTCCTTTATGTATGTGAGGAGTTGAAATCTGCATTCTCCTGGGCTGGGCTACAAAAGTGCCAGTGGTTCCCTTTGTGCCACTGGCACAGCTTGGATGGGGATGTAAACTGAGTAGGGCAAGGTCCCCGGGAATCACCAGGGCAGAGCAAGGGGCAATGGCGTCTACGCGATGCCTCGCCTCTCCGCAACTCTGTGTCTCGCGTCCCCGAGTGCCGGCGAGCAGCTCCACTAGACAGCCACTCTCGCTCTCCAGCCTGTTGCAAGGCCGTCCCGCCTCTCCTCGTAGGGGTCTGAGACCTCAGGATCCCACCCCAAACAAGCTCAGTGGATTTGAGAGTCTGCATCCCCTTCCGATTGAAAAAGACCATGCATCCAGTTGCAGCCTGCCTGGCACGGGATTCCGCACCTCTGTTCTTGGCGAGCCACCAGGGCGGGGCAAAGGGCAATGGCGTGGCGTCTCCACGACTACTTGCCTCTCCGTGACTCCACATCCCTGCGTCCCCGAGTGCAGGCGGGCAGCTCCGCGAGCAAGCCACCCTTGCTCTCCGACCTGTTGCAAGACCATCCCGCCTCTCCCCGTAGGGGCCTGGGACCTCAGAATCCCGCCCCAAACAAGCTCAGTGGACTCGAGAGTCTGCAGCCCCTTTCAATTGAAAAAAACCACGAATCCAGTTGCAGCCCGCCTGGCGCGCGACTCTGTACCTTCGTTCTTGGAGCCTCTGCACAACCTACTCAGTCTCAATGCTCTTCTTTCTTTCCTTCCAATTGTAGAGCTTCCACTGGGCCAGCTTTCCCATGGTTCTGAATGATAGCTGTTTGTCTTATAGTTGGTAGTCTCAATGTTGTTGTGGGAGGCAGCACACACAGGTCTGTACCTTACGCCGCCATCTTGGTTCTCTAAAATTAATTTTTTAAAAAGTAAGTAAGTGAAGGGAGGAACGAACAAAAGAGAGAGAAAGACAGGCTCTTGGTATACATTGCCAAACTGCTTTTGAAACGCCTATATTCTACCTTAATGTAATGATATAAAAACTATGCTAATTTAATGAAAAAATAATTTGCATCTTTGCTGAGAGTGAATAGTTCTTTATATTTTGTAGCTATCTGTACTTCCTCACTGATAAAAACTTTATGCCCTGTCTTTTGTTTACTTAACCAGTCAGGTCTTAAACTTTTTACATTAAATTATATGAGGTTTTAGAGTAAGGATTTGTCAATTATATTTTATGCAAATTATTGTTCCCAATTTTTGCCTTTTAGTTTATGTGATGTTTGATATTAGATACTTAAACATATCCCACAAAGAGTTTTTGACCTTTCCTTTATGAGTTCTTTGTTTTCATATCCCCAAGTGGTTCTGAAAGTGTGGACTCTTAGCATCATTTGCATAACCCAAGCCTGACAGAAATGCAAAATATTCCCCATTCACACCTACAATATCAGAGACTCTGGGGGCCCCAAAATCTGTTTTAACAAGCCCTCCAGGCTTGTTAAACAGACATGAGGAAGTTTGGGAGCCACTGGTCACTGGTCAAGAAAGGCCTTCCTCACCTAAGTGTTTTGTTTCATTTTACTCTTTTTCGTATTTGGTATAAACAACAGAACTACTTTTTCTTCCCAATCCCCATTGAGTTAATGATGCTTCCTTTGTCCCATATTGGTTTTTATAAACACATTCAGGTTTACCTCTGTGCTTTCTTTGAGAGCTTTTCTGAGTTGTATTTCACATATCACAAAATTCACTCATTGAAAGTGTAGTTTTCTACTCTTGTGATTAGTCACAAGACTGTGCATATTTAGTTCCTTAAATCTGATTTTAGTTACTTTTGTCCTTGGTGAGACTGCCTGTAGGTTTGTCAATTCTCATTCTTGACAAAGAACCAACTATAGGTTTCACTGTTCTTTTCTATTGGTGTTCTTCCCTTTATTTCATTATTTCTGCTCCAACCTTTATTACTTTCTTCCTTTCCCTTCCTTCAGGTTTAGCTGTTCTGTGAGGGGGCTGCTTCCAAGCCGGGGGCTGGTCCTGCCCCAGCCTGGTCTGGAAACTTTCAAGTGTCAGGCCACCTCCAGGTCCTTGACCCCCCACCTCCCCAGGAAAGATTTCAAGGACAAATCAGAGTGTGAATAAAGCAAGTTTTATTCAAGTAGAAAAAGAAAGGCCACAGTGAGGGCACAGCTGTGAAAGAAGCGAAAAGTACTCACACTATTTAGCGCTATTATATTCATACGAATTACACCTTTACATATTGTGAGTCCAATAACAGTTATATAATTATTACTTTAGGCAGTTGTATTTAAAACAGATAGAATTAAAAACAAACATAAGTTTATACTGTCTTTTTTAAAACCTATGTGGTTACTGTTAGGGTCGCCAAAGGAGGAACGTAGGAGGCCGAAAGGGGTAAAGAATTATCAATTTATTAGGTCATCTGGAAAACCAGATGGGCTGAGCCCCAAAATGGCGCCAGCATCCAGGAACAGGGACTCAGAGATCTTAAAGCTTTGACTCTAGACGGGCTTTTCCTGGGCAGAGAATTCTCTGGGCAGGTCCTGAGGGAAAAGATAATGGTCTTAACAAGTGGACTGTGGTCGTAGCAAGTGCTAAGCAAAAGGGAATGTCTGCTGTGAAGTGCTCTAAAGCAGCGGTTGCCACTCACTAGTGGTCCATGAGGTCTGAAAGGTTGGCGACCACTGGTCTAAAGGCCAGTTCCCAGGGTAGGGGGTGTCCATTCAGTCATTCGATCAGACCTGACAGTTACTTTTACCAGTGCTCTTTCCTTCTTCATGTGGCTTCGAGTTAGTTTCCAGCGTACTTCCATTAAAGCTTGAATGGTTCCCTTTAGTATTTCTGTAGGGCAGGTCTGCTAGTGATAAATTCCCCCTTTTTTGTTTATCTTTTAATGTCTTGACTTCTCCTATGTCTTTGAAGGAGGATTTAGCCATAGAATTTTTGGTTGAAAGTCTTTTCTTTCAGCACTGGGAAGGTATCAGCCCACTGACTTCTGGCCTCCATGTTTTCTGATGAGAATTCAAGTTCATTTTATTGTGGTTCAGGAATTTCTCTTAATAACAATTTTCAGTTTGTTGTGCAGCTTTGGTTAAATGTTAGAATTCTAAAAGTCTTTGATTTTAGTTCATATTTTTGTTGTTTTAGAGGGAGAGTGAGTTCACTAAAGTCCTTTCCCTGTCATTTTGGAAGTTGATCTCTTCATAATTTTAATTATTTTAGATAACATGTTTTAATACCTTGTAAAGCAATTTTCCTTTAATAATTATTTCCCTATAAGTTTGTAACTATTTCTACCCATTTGGGTAATTTTTCAGGTGAATGTTAGAATCATTGGCTCAAGCTCCAATGATAATTTCCAGTGGTCATTTAGGAGCCTACTTTTAAAATAAGTCACGTTCTTGGAATATTCAGGCTTCCCATCCTCTCCTACTTTAATACTGCTCAGGGAACGTGATGAATTTTTTTCATGTAGATTTCACTGTAGTTTTCCTAGGCATTTAAATTTTGTTGTTGTGACTGGGAACTGTGATTAATATGCCATGTTATTTTTTTTTTTTTTTAATATAAAGCAAACATTTCCTGGGGGGAATAAAAACAACTCATTTGTGTACCTAAGGTTAATGAAGTCAGGAGGGCTCTTTCAGCAACTGAAAGGTTTTTCTGTTTTGTTTTTTCTTTGAAGCAACAGAGTTATCTTTCTCCAAGTTAAATCTTAAGCAGAACCTCATACATAAAAAATAAAAGCGTAGTTGCCTGGTTGAAAAAGAAGATGAGGGCCCTACCTCGTTTTCCTCAGTGGTTAGAGCAGTGATGGCGAACCTGTGACACGCGAACTCATTTTTTTGGTTGATTTTTCTTTGTTAAACGGCATTTAAATATATAAAATAAATATCAAAAATATAAGTCTTTGTTTTACTATGGTTGCAAATATCAAAAAATTTCTATATGTGACACGGCACCAGAGTTAATTAGGGTTTTTCAAAATGCTGACACGCCGAGCTCAAAAGGTTCGCCATCACTGGGTTAGAGCATCGGCCCATGGACTGAAGGGTGCAGGTTCGATTCCAGTCAAAGGCATGTACCTGGGTTGCAGGTTCAATCCCAGGACCAGTTGGGGTGCTTTCCAGAGGCATCCAATAGATGTTTCTCTCTCACATCGGATGTTTCTCTCTCTCTCTTCCTCACCTTCCTCCCTCCCTTCCACTCTCTCTAAAAATCAATGGGAAAAAATATCCCCGAGTGATGACTAACCAAAAAAATTTAAAAAAAGAAGAAATGGAGGACGAGGGATGGTCCAAAGCCCTGCAGGCTCTGCCTCCTCCTCATTGCAGTCCCTGAGGTATTTCCCAACAACTGGCTGCTTGGTTACCTGTCACAAATAGGAGCTCACCTGTGGGCTCCTTAGTATAACCTCGTTTATTTGTTTTGTTTTTTAACATTTCATTCTACTTCAAGGTGTTTTTCCATTTCTACTCGTGGCCACTAGTATACCTGAGTTTCAATGAGATCCCGCCTCCCTGAGCTAGGCCACCCCCAGCGCATCTCTCGTAAGTCAACAGAACAGGAAACTGAACATAGGCTTGAAGATGTGGTCGGTTCAAGAAAGAACATGTGATTTCTGTGGTACTTTGTCACTATCCCATCCTGTGTCACAAAAGAGAGAAGTATTTTGACTCTATGACTTAGAAATACAGGGCCAATTTGCAACTAAATAAGTAGGTGAATTATATTATGTGTGAATTTTACTCCAGCAGAGAATAGAGATCTGAATGAAATACTGATAGATAAGGAGAAAGTATTTCTGATAAGACTAGAAGCATCTTTAAAACAAACACTCAAAAGAAATCTGTGTTCTAAATGTCTACAAAAGATTTTTTATTAATAAAATTTTTAGGATAAAGAAATTTAAAAAATAACTATAATACTTTAAAAAGCTATTGAGTATTTCATGTTTACAATGAGAAAAAACTTGAACCTTAAAGAACAGACTGAGTAAATTACCTAAGGCAACAAGAGCGAAGGAAGATGGTCAGACCTGCTATATGTGTACTCACACGAGGCTTAAACACTGACTTTTTAAACAAAAAGCAAATTGTACTCATTGTTTCAAGGTTTGTGAGACTAACTATTGAATGACATCAGATGGTAATTCCTTTTATAGAAAAGAGCTTTCACTCTAATCCAGCCCATATATTACCCTCTATGGCAATTTGGGAATGGAATGATATCTAGTCCAGTTTTAAAACCAACTCAGTTTCTAAAGGGTTGGCACTAAAAAATTTGAAGTAATATATGCAGTATTTTAAAATAACTGAGAATTATGACAACTTAAGTTACTTTCAGATATAAGAAGGGAGTGGATACACTTACCTCAGGGCTGTACAATCCACAAGGGCTATAGCCGCAAGGGGAAGAGGAAGATACTCATTCCGTACAACATGAATAGCATTCTAAGGGGGGTGTTACTAATTATAACTCAAACTGTCAGTTAAATCCTAATAATGAGTATGTATACTCTCCCCTCCCCTGCCCCCCACTGTGAATTCTTCTCAGAAAGAAAATCAGAAAAGGGACTGAGTTCTGGAAAGAAATGGTGAGACTGTGGAACTCCAAGAGTGATGCTGTCTCCTCAGTCCCAGGACATGACTTGCATCCCCAGGTTCTGCCTTACAGTCTCCTGGGTATGAAATATAATTTGTGTAATTTTTCTTGAAAAGATCACGGTGGAGTCTGAGAACCCGCTGGGGCCGTCAGTTTTTGTCCTTCAGTATCCTAAATGCAGACAATCTCAACATCCAGAAATATCCTTTGATTTGTTCTTCCTCTGAAATCGTGTGTCCTTGGGATCAAAGCCTCTTTCATTGGCACCAAATAAAGCCCAGTGAGGAGTTTTGGCCATATAATCCTCGGCGCTGAAAGTCTTTGATCCACCACTGTCTTCATATTCCTGGATGAGCTCCTGGAAGCGGTTATAATCAATCCACGTCCACCATTCTCTATCAATCTTAAACTAGAAAGGAAAAAAGTAAACAGGTCAGAATTAAATACATCCATTAAAAAAAAAATCAAATAAATACCAAAAAGTTAAAAATGAGCCTGATCTTCATCCCTATCGTGATAAAATTTTCTTCATGCTTCAGATATGGTTACATATCAAAGCAAAATAGTCAGAGGAGAATTTCTGTTACCTTAGGACTCCAGCCAAACTGAACCTGAAAGACCAAATTGCTGAATAAAGAATACATTCCGGAATCGAAAGTCAAGTTTATCTTGAGCGATATCAATGAAAGAGGATTAACTAAGTTTTTGGTGTTATCAGGTGTTAATGGTCAAGCAAATTCTAATTTTTCTTGTCACTATTTTTTCTTTTATTAAAATTTCACTTTCAATTAGTTTACATTCAATATTATTTTGTATTAGTTTCAGATGCACAAGCATATACTTTACAAAGTGATCCCCCTGATAGTTCAAGTACCCACCTGGCACCACACATCGTTATTACAATATGACCATATTCCCTAAGGTTTACTTTACCTTCCCATAACTATTTTCTAATTATCAATTTGTACTTATAATTCCCTTCACCTTTTTCATCCATCCATCCCAACTTCCCCTGCCTCTGGCAATCATCAGTCTCTTCTCTTATCTATGAATCTATTTCCGTTTTATTTGTTCATTTACTTTATTTAGATTCATATGTAAGTGAAATCATATGGTATTTACCTTTCCCTGTCTGACATATTTCACTTAGCATAATACCCCATAAGCTATCGCAAATAATAAAATTTCATTTTTCCAAGCAACACCAATCAAAAGGATATATGCATCCCTATGTTCATAGCAGCACAATTTACCATAGCAAAGATCTGGAAACAGCCTAGGTGCCCATCAGCAGATGAATGGATTAGAAAACTGTGGTATATCTACACAATGGAATACTATGCTGCTGTAAAAAAGAAGGAATTCTTACCATTTGCAACAGCATGGATGGAACTGGAGAGCATTATGCTAAGTGAAATAAGCCAGTCAATGAAAGAAAAATACCACATGATCTCACTCATTTATGGATAATAAAGACGATTATAAACTGATGAACAAAAATAGATACAGAGGAAGAGCAGCATCGAACAGACTGTCAAACTACAGCAGGAAGGCTGAGGAGGGTTGGGGGGCAGGAGGGGGTAAGGATTCAACCGAAGGACTTGTATGCATGCATGTAAGCATAACCAATGGACACAGGACACTGGGGGGTAGGGGAGGCTGGGGGAATGTCAAGGGGGGAAAAAAAGGAGACATATGTAATACTCTTTGTAATACTTTAAGCAATAAAACAAAATTTTAAAAAAATTCATTTTTATGGCCAAGTAATATTCCATTGTATATATGTACTATCACATTTATATCCACTCCTCTATTGATGGGCCCTTAGGGAGCTTCCATATCTTGGCTATTGTAAATAATATATAAAAGGCTAAGTGACTGTCCATACATCCGTCCAACGTCCACTGACTGGTACATATGACGCGCACTGGCAATTTAAAAATAAACGTTGACTCGTCCATGCGTGATACATATAAAGTTCTCACTGGTGCCAATCGCATGCATGGGTTTCAATCTGTCATTGTCGACCGTGAATTTGGTTGTTTTTGTTGACATTTCTATTATATAGGGCAAATAGCGATATTAATTAATTTCCTTTCAATGTGCACAAATCCGTCCACCGGGCCACTAGTTGTAAATAATGCTGCAATTAACTTAGGGGTGCATATATCCTTTTGAATGAGAGTTTGGGGTTTCTTTGGATGTACACCAGAAGTGGAATTCCTGGGTCATAAGGCAGTTCCATTTTTTGCTGTTTGTTGATTTATTGATGATAGCCATTCTAACAGATATGGTTTTAATATGCATTTTCCTGATGATTAATGATGTTGAGCATCTTTTCATGTCTATTGGCCACAGGTATATTTTTTATGCAATTGTGATGGGATCATTTTCTTAGTTTCTCTTTCTGACAGTTGGTGTATAAAAATGCAATCTCAATTTCTGAATATTTATTTTGTATCCTGCAACTTTAGTGAATTTATCAGTTCTAGTCGTTTTTTGGTGGAATCTTTAGGGTTATCTTGTCATCTGCAAATGACATTTTTACTTCTTCCTTTCCAATCGAAATGCCTTTTACTTTTTCCTTCTGTGTCTAATTGCTGTGACTAGAACTTCCAGTACTATATTGAATAAAAGTGGTGAAAATAGACATCCTTGTCTTATTCCTGATCTTAAGAAAAACCCTTTTAGTTTTCCCCCATTGAGTATGATATTAGCGGTGGGTTTGTCATATATGGCCTTTATTATGTTGAAGTATGTTCCCTCAATTTCTAATTTGCTGAGAGTTTTTAATCATAAATTGGTGCTGGATTCTGTCATCTATTGATATGATCATATGATTTTTACCCTTCATTTCATTTATGTGGTGTATCATATGAAATGATTTTCAGATATTGAAACTTGCATCCTCTGAATAAATCCCACTTCATCATAATGTATGATCTTTTTATTATATTACTGAATTCAGTTTGCTAATATTTTATTGAGGATATTTGCATCTATGTTTATCAGGGATTTTGGCCTATAATTTCCTTTCTTTGTAATGTCTTTATCTAGTTTTGGAATCAGGATAATGCTGGCCTTGTACAATGAGCTTGGGAATCTTTCCTCCTCTCGAAGTATTTGGAGAAGTATTTGGAGAAGTTTGAGGATAGGTGTTAGTTCTTTGAATGTTTGGTAAAATTCACCCGTTAAGTCATCCAGTTCATGACTTGTGCCTATTGGAAGTTTTTTGATTACTATTTCAATTTCATTGCTTGTAATCAGTCTGCTCAGAATTTATTTCTTCTTGTTTTAATCTTGGAAGATTGTATGTTTCTAGAAATTTATCCATTCCTTCCAGATTATTCAATTGTTCATACTATATTTTTTTATACTCCTTTGTATTTCTGTGGTGTCAGTTGTCACTTCTCTTTCATTTCTGATTTTATTTATTTGGGTCCTCTCTTTTTTCTTATGTATCTGGTTAAAGGTTCATCAATCTTATTTATCTTTTCAGATAAGCAGCTTTTGATTTCCTTGATCTTTTGTACTGTATTTTAAACTGTATTTTATTTCCACTCTAAACTTCATTTCCTTTCTTCTATTCACTTTGGGCTTAGTTTGTTGTTCTTTTCCTAGTTCCTTTAGGTTTAAGGTTAGATTGTTTATTTGAGATTTTTCTTGTTTCTTAAGGTATGTCGGTATTGCTATAAATTTCCCTCTTAGGACTGATTTTGCTGTGTCCCATAGATTTTGGTTCTTGTGTTTCATTTTCATTTGTCTCAAGGTATCTCTTTTGATATCTTCTTTGAGCTCATTGATAACCCATTTATTGTTTAGTAGCATTTCATTTAGCCTCCATGTGCTTGTATGTTTCTCTGTGGGTTTTTTTTCTTATAATTAACTAGAGGCCTGGTGCACAAAAATTTGTGCACTCGGGGGGGAGGAGGGGCCCTCAGCCTGGCCTGTGCCCTCTCTCAGTCTGGGACCCCTCGGGAGATAACGACCTGCTGGCTTAGGCCTGCTCCCGGGTGGCAGAGGGCAGGCCTAATCCCTAGGTGCAGCCCCTGGTCGGGCTCAGAGCAGGGCCGATTGGGGAATTGGGGTGCTGCCCCCTGTCATGCACAGAGCAGGGCAGATTGGGAAGTTGCGATGCCACCCTCAGTCACGCTCAGGGTAGGGCCGATTGGGGGGTTGGGGCACCGCCCCCTGTCACACTCAAGGCAGGGTCGATGGGGAGGTTGCGGCGCCACCCCCTGTCATGCACAGAGCAGGGCCGACCAGGGGGTTGGGGAGCTACCCCCTGTCACGCACAGAGCAGGGTCAATCAGGGGGTTGGGGAGCTCCCCCCTGTCACGCACAGAGCAGGGCCGATCAGGGGATTGGGGAGCTCCCCCCTGTCATGCACAGAACAGGGCGGATCAGGGGATTCAGGAGCCGCCCTCTATCACCCACAGAGCAGGGCCGATCAGGGGGTTGGGGCGCCGCCACTGTCACACTCAGGGCAGGGCTGATGGAGAGGTTATGGCTCTACCCCGTCACACACAGAGCAGGGCCCGTGGGGTGGGGGGGTTGGGGCGCCGCACCCTGTCACACACAGAGTCGCAGGGTAATCAGGAGGTTGGGGAGCTCTCCCCTATCAGGCACAGAGCAGGGTCGATCAGGGGGTTGGGGCGCCTTCCCCTGTCAGGAACAGAGCAGGGCCAATAGGGAGGTTGTGGCCCCGCCCCCTATCACACACAGAGCCACAGGGCGATCAGGGGGTTTGGGCACTGCCCCCTGTCATGCTGATCCCGGTGCTGGGAGGCATATTACCCTTTTACCATATAGAATAGAGGCCTGGTGCATGGGTGGGGGCTGGCTGGTTTGCCCTGAAGGGTGTCCCAGATCAGGGTGGGGGTCCCCACTGGGGTGCCTGGCCAGCCTGGATGAGGGGATGATGGCTGTTTGCAGCTGGTCACACACCCTTCAGGGTGGGGGTCCCCACTGGGGTGCCTGGCCAGTCTGGGTGAGGGGCTGAGGGCTGTTTTCAGGCTGGGATTGAAGCTCCCAACTGCTCCTTTTTTTCTTTTTTTTTTCTTTTTTTATTTTGAGCCAGCTTTAGCTCTGAGGCTCCAGCTCTTAGGCCTCCGCTCCTGAAAGCTGGTACCTGGTTTGTTTAGGTTCTACAATCGAAACTCTGTATCAACTCCAGGTCTGAGATCCCGGCTAGCTGAAAGCTGGTTTCTGGGGTTTTGTTTAGCTTCTATTTTTGTAACTATGTTTCAAACTGCCAGCTCAGAGGCCTGCAGCAGCAGGCGGGGAACATTGGAGTCCTCAGTCACTGAAGCAAGCAAGCCTCCTGTTAGTTTCAAGCTGCCTGGCTGCCGGCCGCCATCTTGGCTGGCAGTTAATTTGCATATCACCCTGATTAGCCAATGGGAAGGG